CCAGACAATAGAATGGTTGATCCCTTACAGCATTACACCACACCCCTCCAGACAATAGAATGGTTGATACCTTACAGCATTGCACCACACCCCTCCAGACAATAGAATGGTTGATCCCTTACAGCATTACACCACACCCCTCCAGACAATAGAATGGTTGATCCCTTACAGCATTGCACCACACCCCTCCAGACAATAGAATGGTTGATCCCTTACAGCATTGCACCACACCCCTCTAGACAATAGAATGGTTGATCCCTTACAGCATTGCACCACACCCCTCCAGACAATAGAATGGTTGATCCCTTACGGCATTGCACCACACCCCTCCAGACAATAGAATGGTTGATCCCTTACAGCATTGCACCACACCCCTCCAGACAATAGAATGGTTACAGCATTGCACCACACCCCTCCAGACAATAGAATGGTTGATCCCTTACAGCATTGCACCACACCCCTCCAGACAATAGAATGGTTGATCCCTTACAGCATTGCCCCACACCCCTCCAGACAATAGAATGGTTGATCCCTGACAGCATTGCACCACACCCCTCCAGACAATAGAATGGTTACAGCATTGCCCCACACCCCTCCAGACAATAGAATGGTTGATCCCTTACAGCATTGCACCACACCCCTCCAGACAATAGAATGGTTGATCCCTTACAGCATTGCACCACACCCCTCCAGACAATAGAATGGTTGATCCCTTACAGCATTGCCCCACACCCCTCCAGACAATAGAATGGTTGATCCCTTACAGCATTGCACCACACCCCTCCAGACAATAGAATGGTTGATCCCTTACAGCATTGCACCACACCCCTCCAGACAATAGAATGGTTACAGCATTGCCCCACACCCCTCCAGACAATAGAATGGTTGATCCCTTACAGCATTGCCCCACACCCCTCCAGACAATAGAATGGTTACAGCATTGCCCCACACCCCTCCAGACAATAGAATGGTTGATCCCTTACAACATTGCACCACACCCCTCCAGACAATAGAATGGTTACAGCATTGCACCACACCCCTCCAGACAATAGAATGGTTGATCCCTTACAGCATTGCACCACACCCCTCCAGACAATAGAATGGTTACAGCATTGCACCACACCCCTCCAGACAATAGAATGGTTGATCCCTTACAGCATTGCACCACACCCCTCCAGACAATAGAATGGTTGATCCCTTACAGCATTGCACCACACCCCTCCAGACAATAGAATGGTTGATCCCTTACAGCATTGCACCACACCCCTCCAGACAATAGAATGGTTGATCCCTTACAGCATTGCACCACACCCCTCCAGACAATAGAATGGTTGATCCCTTACAGCATTGCACCACACCCCTCCAGACAATAGAATGGTTGATCCCTTACAGCATTGCCCCACACCCCTCCAGACAATAGAATGGTTGATCCCTTACAGCATTGCACCACACCCCTCCAGACAATAGAATGGTTGATCCCTTACAGCATTGCACCACACCCCTCCAGACAATAGAATGGTTGATCCCTTACAGCATTGCACCACACCCCTCCAGACAATAGAATGGTTGATCCCTTACAGCATTGCACCACACCCCTCCAGACAATAGAATGGTTGATCCCTTACGGCATTGCACCACACCCCTCCAGACAATAGAATGGTTGATCCCTTACGGCATTGCACCACACCCCTCCAGACAATAGAATGGTTGATCCCTTACAGCATTGCACCACACCCCTCCAGACAATAGAATGGTTGATCCCTTACAGCATTGCCCCACACCCCTCCAGACAATAGAATGGTTGATCCCTTACAGCATTGCACCACACCCCTCCAGACAATAGAATGGTTGATCCCTTACAGCATTGCCCCACACCCCTCCAGACAATAGAATGGTTGATCCCTTACAGCATTGCACCACACCCCTCCAGACAATAGAATGGTTACAGCATTGCCCCACACCCCTCCAGACAATAGAATGGTTGATCCCTTACAGCATTGCACCACACCCCTCCAGACAATAGAATGGTTACAGCATTGCCCCACACCCCTCCAGACAATAGAATGGTTGATCCCTTACAGCATTGCACCACACCCCTCCAGACAATAGAATGGTTGATCCCTTACAGCATTGCACCACACCCCTCCAGACAATAGAATGGTTGATCCCTTACAGCATTGCACCACACCCCTCCAGACAATAGAATGGTTACAGCATTGCCCCACACCCCTCCAGACAATAGAATGGTTACAGCATTGCCCCACACCCCTCCAGACAGTAGAATGGTTAGAGCATTGATCTTGCATGATCTTGAACATTTTGTTGTAAGGCTTGTTTGATTATGTACTGAGCTGATACTGATACAATTTGACCAGAGAAATAGTGCTGTGAGCATGGCCATCTGTGGCATAAACTTCTGTGCTTTCTTTGTGGCCTGTTACTGTTGCCTATTATTACCCATGTGGACATGGACACCAATGAAATCATTGTCAGTAATTCTCACTGAGCATCAGAACAACTGTTCCATTATGAATACACAATGCTATTAAGAAAGTGGTCAAATGTTACAAATGTTATACTTGGGAAAGCACTTTCTTAGTTAAGTACAGATACTAGTACTATGTTTGGGTTGAGTCCCATCCAGGGATGAAACCTACACTGCCAGAGTGAGGCACCTAATTGCCAGCACACAAAGTCAGCTATCTAACCCACTCAGCCACCGAGGATTCCACAAAAATTAAAGTCTGAGAACTGGTAGTCTGTACTTTATGTACCCCTCTGACATTGGCACGGCTCCCATGGCCGAAAGCTATGAATACACAATGCCATTTAGAAAGTGGTCAAGGGTAACAAATGTTATATTTGGGATAACACGATCTCAGCAAAGAACAAACTAGAGGCCTGCAGAAATGTGAGATCATACTGCCAAGACTCGGAACTTACACACTTACTTCCCTCCGGACAGATCATCCATTATGCATTGTTGCTCGTAGGTTAGTTCTAAGTATTGATATTATCTGCATGGAAATATATTGGCCTAATACAGCTGAGGAAAGTCCCTTCAAGTGGGTGGTCAGGTAGGCAGAATCTTCTCAGAGAAGTTTAACATCACACAAGTGCTTTATGATCTCCAGAGGGAACCAGACATGGATGATGAAGTTCACAGTTAACACGAATACATATACAATAAATTTGTAGACAGTTTGAGTTTCTTTCAGAAATTAACCCGATATATCAAGCAATCAGTCTATAAGCGTTAATGTACGACAAAATGCCAAATTCCTCAACAGTCAACGCATGAAAGAAAGAGCATGGATGTTCCCCAGTCACAGATATCACCCAGAACTTTCCCTAACTGACTTTGTGTCCTCTCACTCACTCACTCACTCCCCAGTCACAGAAAAACACTCGGAACTTTCCCTAACTGACTTGGTGTCCTCTCACTCACTCACTCTCTCATGATGCCAGGTCGTCCTCCTGGGCAGCAGTGACGGATGTTATGGTCTTGTCTCCTCCCCTGCTGGATGAGATGACTCCTCCCCTGCTGGATGAGGTGACTCCTCCCCTGCTTGATGAGATGACTCCTTCCCACTTGATGAGGCGACGCCTCCCTTGCTTGATGAGATGACTCCTCCCCTGCTTGATGACATCACTCCTCCCCTACTTGATGAGGTCACTCCTCCCCTGCTTGATGACGTCACTCCTCCCCTACTTGATGAGATAACTCCTACCCTGCTTGATGAGATGACTCCTCCCCTGCTTGATGAGGTGTCTCAACCCCCGCTTGATGAGATGACTTCTCCCCTGCTTGATGAGGTGACTCCACCCCTGCTTGTTCAGGTGACTCCTCCCCTGCTTGATAAGGTGACTCCTCCCCTGCTTGATGAGGTGACTTCTCCCCTGCTTGATGAGGCGACTCCACCCCTGCTTGATGAGATAACTCCTACCCTGCTTGATGAGGTGACTCATCCCCTGCTTGATGAGATGACTCCTCCCCTGCTTGATTAGGTCACTCCTCCCCGGCTTGATGAGGCGACGCCTCCCCTGCTTGAGGTGATGCCTCCCCTGCTTGATGAGGTGACTCCTCCCCTGCTTGATGAGGTGACTCCTCCCCTGCTTGATGAGGCGACTCCTCCCCTGCTTGAGGTGATGCCTCCCCTGCTTGATGAGGTGACTCCTCCTCTGCTTGATGAGGTGACTCAACCCCCGCTTGATGAGATGACTTCTCCCCTGCTTGATGAGGTGACTCCTCCCCTGCTTGATGAGGTGACTTCTCCCCTGCTTGATGAGGCGACTCCACCCCTGCTTGATGAGATAACTCCTACCCTGCTTGATGAGGTGACTCATCCCCTGCTTGATGAGATGACTCCTCCCCTGCTTGATTAGGTCACTCCTCCCCGGCTTGATGAGGCGACGCCTCCCCTGCTTGAGGTGATGCCTCCCCTGCTTGATGAGGTGACTCCTCCCCTGCTTGATGAGGTGACTCCTCCCCTGCTTGATGAGGCGACTCCTCCCCTGCTTGAGGTGATGCCTCCCCTGCTGGATGAGGTGACTCCTCCCCTGCTTGATGAGGTGACTCCTGCCCTGCTTGATGAGGTGACTCCTCTCCTGCTTGATGAGGTGACTCCTCCCCTGCTTGATGAGATAACTCCTCCCCTGTTTGATGAGGTGACTCCTCCCCTGCTTGATGAGGTGACTCCTCCCCTGCTTGATGAGATAACTCCTCCCCTGTTTGATGAGGTGACTCCAACCCCGCTTGATGAGATGACTTCTCCCCTGCTTGATGAGGTGACTCCTCCCCTGCTTGTTGAGGTGACTTCTCCCCTGCTTGTTGAGGTGACTCCACCCCCGCTTGATGAGATGACTTCTCCCCTGCTTGATGAGGTGACTCCTCCCCTGCTTGAGGTAATGCCTCCCCTGCTTGATGAGGTGACTCCTCTCCTGCTTGATGAGGTGACTCCTCCCCTGCTTGATGAGGTGACTCCTCCCCGCTTGATGAGATGACTCCTTCCCTGCTTGATGAGGTGACTCCTCCCCTGCTTGATGAGATGACTCCTCCCCTGCTTGATGAGATGACACCTCCTCTGCTTAATGAGGTCACTCCTCCCCGGCTTGATGAGGCGACACCTCCCCTGCTGGATGAGGCGACTCCACCCCTGCTTGATGAGATAACTCCTACCCTGCTTGATGAGGTGACTCCTCTTCTGCTTGATCAGGTGATGCCTCCCCTGCTTGATGAGGTGGATGAGGTGACTCCTCCCCGGCTTGATAAGGCAACGCCTCCCCTGCTTGATGAGGTGACTCCACCCCTGCTGGATGAGGTGACTCCTCCCCTGCTTGAGGTGATGCCTCCCCCGCTTGATGAGGTGACTCCTCGCCTGCTTAATGAGATGACTCCTCCTCTCCTTGATGAGGTGACGCCTCCCCTGCTTGAGGTGATGCCTCCCCTGCTTGACGAGGTGACTCCTCCCCGACTTGACGAGGGGACTCCTCCCCAGCTTGAGGTGATGCCTCCCCCGCTTGATGAGGTGACTCCACCCCTGCTGGATGAGGTGACTCCTCCCCTGCTTGAGGTGATGCCTCCCCTGCTTGATGAGGTGACTCCTCCCCTGCTTGATGAGGCGACTCCTCCCCTGCTTGATGAGGTGACTCCTCCCCTGCTCGATGAGGCAATGGCGGTGGACTGGGATCCATAGTTGTCTTCTTCCTTCTACCTCTAGTACCCCTCTTGCCGGCCATGATGTTTTACATGGATGTGCAATGAGCGACGAGCGACTAGCGAAATAGCAACTGATGATGGTGTTTGTATACACTTTGCGCATGCAATACGAACATTTTGGGCACGCTGTCAGCGCAGTGACAACTCCTGGCACACTGTGAGCACTCTGTGAGAGAGCAGTTAATCGCCAACTACAACTCGGGCGCTCATCTTGTGAAAATTTTAAATAAAAGTTTTTCAGAATTTTCCTGCAATCCCACGGTTCTCTGAGAAATTTCACAACGCCGTGCCAACCCAGTGGAAATGCGGTAGAGTGTGACAGAGCACATTCAAGTTTCATTGCAACCCAAATACCACAACATTAATACAGAAATTTCTTTACTGCAGTATACAGGGTACTGGCTTACTATACTGAAATACATTTGAAGGATGCCTTTTTCTAAAGAAAAATACCATTTCATTTATTTAAATATTAAAATGTTTGCTCATTTTGGGAAAAATCCAATAGAGTGATGAATAGATAAGTGAAAAAAATATTGGTTACCCAATGGAAAACGTAATAGCCCAATTAAAATAGAAACCATTGAGTAAAAACTCAATTGCTCAAAAAGTTATCTGGAGTTGTGGTCACTAACAGACTTTGTGTCCTTCAAGTTTCCTTCAAAGAGTCAGAGAGAGTGTGTTGTTGAAACAGTTCAGGATCAGCCAAAGCCCACACATTGCTCCAGAGAGAGCTTGTAATTGGCTGCCCTCTTTGGCCAAACTGAATCCGATGTATGTGTGCCATATCATGGTGAATCTATAACTACACTTGAAAGTGACTTGATACCAGGAGACTCTCACAGACAATTATTGGTTTTGAACCAGTCTGATAAGGACTCACTTAAAGGATGGCCTTAGACATGATGGCAGTTGGATCGTGCGGGCCCTCAGTTACCTTGCATCTTGTTACTTGTTAGTTGTCCTGATATTGTGAGGTTTCTTTTGTTTGTTTGTTCGATGTTTGACGCCGCACTCAGCAATATTCCAGCTATATGACAGCGGTGTGTAAATAATCGAGTCTGGACCAGACAATCCAATGACTGGTATCATGAGCATCGATCTGCGCAATTAGGTTGCAATGACATGCATCAACCAAGTCATTGAGTCTGACCACCCGATCCCATTAGTCGCCTCTTACGACAAGCATAATCCCTTTTTGCGGCCACTATGGGTTGCTGAAGACCTTTTCTACCCTAGATCTTCAAGGGTCTTTTGTAAAGTGAAGATATTTGTATTACTCAGATACGTTCTTTCCTGACCCTCATCGGGAGCACCTTACATGGCATGACAAAGATAATCTAACAAGAGACCCAGGTGCTTTCTGTCGCAGGGCTGTGTCCTCATATACTGTGCCTCTCTTATCTACATACAAGAACCATACAAATAGAGGTTTCCTATTTGCGTCAAAAGTAAAAGTTGGCAAAGAATGCAGGGGGTGAACATTGGTAGTATGTGCAATATGTGTAACAGTGGTATGTCTTATGCTTGGTTTTTCAAACATAGCTCATCTGAAGGTATGGTTCCTTGAGCAAATGACCAAAGAGGTTTCACTCGATCGGTGAGCTGATAAGGTAAGGATGGTGGGATGGGATGGGTGGGATGACTTTACACCATTCAACATAAACTTGGGAGAACACTATGCTGATCAATATAAAGAAATCCTATGATTAAAAAGCAAAAGGGTGTATTTACTCTACAGTTCATCTATCTTCAGATATTCTCTATCACTGAGAGTATTAAGATGCCCTTCCTCAAATGCAGTCATTCTGTTAGTCACTTTTCCTGAAATGAAAACATTTTGCTAGTCCCTCTCCATTAATGGAGTCATTTTGACAGGCACTCTCTCTCAAATGCTTATCAATTTCTTTACAATCCTCAACACCACACCAACATGTCATGATTATGGATATTTTGCATTAAAATTCATTTTGGACCCTGCCTTAAATCTTCTTTATGAAACTTGTTTTTTCTGTCAATAAAATGCTTGAACTATTTATTTTCTATTTTTACATAATTTTAATGAAGTCATAAATGGGGAATGTGCCCTCCAGTAGGAGGTTCCTCACAGTGTTTTGGTTGACGATCACACTGTAACTGACTACTCATTGCACTTTAAAACTCCAGTCCTATTCCTCAACCTTCAACACGAACCTGCACAAAGCATTCTACCAATTGATTGGACAGTGCTTCATACAGCATACGTAATCAGATCATGAATCAAACATAAAGTCAAACACGTTCAGTGCCAAAAAAATTATTCAAATTGTGAAAAAAGAAGCTTTTGTTCAAAGAAAAGTTTGCCCGAAATAGCAATCACAGTTTAGAAAAACACTTATCGAATCTACAGGCTACGTACACAGGTCCAACGTGCTCTGTGTCCATTGGCAGAATGTCAGTTTCAGGGAAAACAAGATCTCCAATCATTATGTAATGGGAATTAGTTGCCGAAATTGATATTAGCAGTGGGAGTTTACACAGAAGACAAGGGTATGGTCGCCATGTCCAACAAACTTCGCATCACCTTTGAGAATTGCAAGATCATTAATGTGCCTTCTGTCTGACTCGGCTGAGATTGAGGTTAAAAACATCCCAACGTGTGTTGACTTTGTGTGATCTTCCTGCTTTCCCCAACCACTGCATGTGGCTTGATACAACGCTATTAACCTAATACCAGAATGGAAATTGGGCACACAAGGCCGGGAATGTCAAAGAAGACTACGAGACATGGCATGGATTGGAAGCACAGCGATAAGGGACTAAAGACGTGTCTACTGGCTGGGCCCTCTGTATCCCCCTGTAGCATGATTGCGCATTCACCAACATGACCATTTATGTCAGTATAGACCAACACCTAAATGGAGAGGGGATATTCATAAGGACAGGGCAAAAAAAGCAAGCACATGCTTTTAACTCGATTTTACTCATATAGCTTGCCTATTTTGTAATAATACATTTATGAACAGGATTGCTCAACCACTGGGATCAGTGATTAGGCAGACAGTTTCTTCCTGGGCTGCCTGGGAGGAGGAAAAACAATTTGTGAACACCAAGAAAGCTTCAATATTGAGGTGATACATCTTATTTAGCAGTAAATCTTGCCCCAAGCACACATTGTGCATGCTTTACTGCCTTGAAAGTGTAATGTGGCCCCATGGAGCAGTGAGTGGAATAACTGCCCAATAAGCTGCTGAAAGTGATGTTCACTTGGCCCATCAGTATCATCACCAGCCACTACTGATGATGTATGGCACCCAACTTCTTCCATCTTACCACTTATTTGAAGCAATTTGATGAGGTGATCAAAAGTTAAATCAAATATGGAAAAGAATTTTCATTTTAGCCAACCTCTAGCATGATCTGCCCAGGTCCTTTTGATATGACAGTTATACCATGGAGCCTAGGAGATATGTTCAGTAGAATGAGTGTGTAGTTACCTTGGAAGCTTCATTTACACATTCTGTTCATGTAAAGTGCAGCCATTGCCATTCTTTTCTGTTGAAAATAGTGAGTGAGTGAGTGAGTGAGTGAGTGAGTGAGTGAGTTGGGTTTAACACCGTTTTTAACAGTATTCCAGTTATGTCACCCAAAGTGATGCAAGTCTCAGACATTAACCACTTTGGTGAAACCCATGAGCACGGGTATGGTGCTGACAAACCTAGAAACATAATCAGGGAACCGGGATTCGTACCCACAATCATAGGTTTCTGGGGTGCACAAGGGACGCAACTCTGCACAGGGAATCGCGGCGCCTTAGACGACTGGGCCACCGGTGCCTCAGTAAGAATAAATAAATTAATTTCCAAAATGAATAAACAGACATTCTATGGCAGCACCACTAATGTTGAGAATAAACAGACATTCTATGGAAGCACCTCTCATGTTAGTCATTCTAAGGCAGCACCACTGATGGTGGAAATGAACAGACATTCAAGGCAGATTCACTGATGCATACTTTCAAATGGAACCAAATCAAACCAGTTATAGGCAAAAACTTAAAGTGGCGACATGCTTATGTTATTGTCAGTTGACCATGTGATCACCACATTGATCTATTCAACAGCCACTGTGGCCATATGATCACCATGTTTCTTTATTCAACAGCCACTGTGTCCATATGATCTCCATGTTTGTCTATTCAACAGCCACTGTGGCCATGTGATCATCATGTTGATCTATTCAACAGCCACTGTGGCCATATGATCTCCATGTTTGTCTATTCAACAGCCACTGTGGCCATGTGATCATCATGTTGATCTATTCAACAGCCACTGTGGCCATATGATCTCCATGTTTGTCTATTCAACAGCCACTGTGGCCATATGATCTCCATGTTTGTCTATTCAACAGCCACTGTGTCCATATGATCTCCATGTTTCTTTATTCAACAGCCTTTGTGTCCACGTGATCACCATGTTAGTCTTTTCAACAGCCATTGTGTCCACATGATCACCATGTTAGTCTTTTCAACAGCCATTGTGTCCACGTGATCACCCAGCGATTTCGCGATATTATCGCATAGTCGTCGTAGATATCGCATCAACATTCAATCAGCACGATTCAAAATCGTGTAGATCTTTCAACACTCTCATTTTCACCTACAAAAATCGAAAATGTTGTATTGCTTAAATAAATTTATATCACTGCATGAAGCTTTGCATCAGCTGACAATGGTGGAGTGTGCAACATTTTTTTATCCCTGATTGGCAAAACGAGTGTTTGTTTTTACAAATTGAACACTTTGGTAGCGCCTAAAAATCTTATTCTGTGATCTACAACTCCAAGTAATGAAACACATTTTTTTAAGACTTAAATCCAAGAAGAAATCAAAGATGTTGATCTTCATGTTTGTGCGTCCGTGCAGAAATCCAGAGAAAAAAAGGCAAACACTGGTAAAGTTTCAAAACACAAGCAAATTTTGATTTTGGAATGACATCAAAACAATAACTAAATGAATATACATACAACACTTTCTCCATAATAATCTAAAAATTTCAGATCAGAAACGATTGTATTTTAGATGAGATTCGCCTAGCCGGTGACGCCACTGATGGAAGAGTTTTCATGAACGTACCCTCGTGCAAGAATGGGCACCATGCGAGAATTACAAATTTTGAACTATTTCTAGTGGCCACACAGCAAATTGCATTAAGATTTTTTTAGAACATGCTACAAAACGTTTGCTTTCAAATTTGTCCATGAAAATTGAAAACTGTGACTTAATCATTCAAATGTAACTCTTAAACATCGTGAATGTCAACAGTCTTTTCAACTTTCGGTTACTCGTGAACATTTTCTGGATGCTGCACATGGCAAACACGCTGCCTTCTGTGTGAAATAAATGACTTAATTTTTGCTAATTAAACAAGAGGGTGAACCTGGTGCAATAGTCATTGTATAATGAACTGTCACTTCTAATTAATTGAAAAGTCCATATTGATAAGATTTCATTTGATACGGTCATAGACCCGGCCTCTGATATGGTACACACTTCAGACGGAAATAAGACGGCAAAATTGACGAAAGCACTGGAATGTAAATAATATATTTTTTACCAACAAACTGTTATACCATTTACAACAGTTGCTATTTCATGTCATCACTCTAAATATGTGGAATTACAATCTAAACACACACTGTCAAAATTTGATAACTGCAGATTGTTGTCTCCTGCATGCCAACAAAATGAACAGCTGATGGTGGTAAACATGCCTCCTAAACAATCTGTAATTGTCCTTGCTATTATGAGTTATGTCCTTTCTATGTCCCCTCTACTGACCAATCAGAATCCATCTCTCATATTACTTGTGATTGCTTCAAACAAAATGGTGGCGCCCAGTCAAGACAATCTGATCAATAATCAAGATCTACATTGTAATAAAACGGGTCTTACCCTGCAAAGTGCATCAAATCACTTGAGCACCTCAATCAAAAACATGGAAAGATTTGTCAATGCCCACTTGGCGGTATACAATTTTTGCAAATCCTGCAGACGACCAAGATCTGCACTTTGAAATTCATGTTGTTTATGAACCGGATGTCTAGTTTGTTACGCAATTTTGATTGACTGGACTATGCATAGACTCGTTAGTCCAACCAATCTGTGGCTCCAGAATTCCAGCCTGGTTCGGCAAAGGTGGAAACTGGACTTTTATAGTCAGTTTACGCCATTGCCTTGGGGAGACTAGATTTCCAGGTTGACAACTCCTGGGTAGAGTAATGTCACTGTGCACTACCATTTCCCACAGCATAATTGTCTAGAAAGAGAGGCTTCCAATCTAGCAGGGTGTGGACTAAACTGATTATTTACAAACCAATTGTTATTATATCCCAATTGCCTAGATTGATGCTCATCATATCAATCACTTGATTGTCTGGTCCAGACTTGATTATTTGCAGAGAGACGTCAAAAAGCTGGAATATTGCTGTGGCATTAAACAACCAACAAACGAACCTATTGTTCTAGGGTTCATCATCCCAGCTATATTGGTATATGATCATCATCTCATTGTAAAGAAAGTTTGTGTCAACGAGTACACCCTGTTAGTTACTTAAGGTTCACCTTCATCAGCCTAACAAGAAGCCAACATATGATGTCGTCCGAGGTGTTTTCTAGGGCCCTAGCTATATTTAATAGCTGTGTCAGCATAATCCATAGCGACGAGCTCATAACAGCTCTGTAGTACATGAATATTGACGACAATGGTGAAATGTATAGCAGATCTTTTCATCTATTAAAACCAGATTTATGTCAACAGTCTGGCAAGTGAAGGTTACTCAGTTCCAACACATGAAGCTATATGACACCTTTCAGAAATCGAAATGATTGACTGACCTTTCAAAGGAGAAAAAATGGAGGAAAGGCATATTAAATTCCTTGCACAACAACTCATTTAATCTCACAAGATTCACAAGTGACAAAAAGATGACCTTGTATTTGAAATTTGATCAGCCATTGGAAATCATACAGAGAGTACATCTATCAGGTTGTCTGCCCCCGGATCTGTGTAGTTCTAGGCCTGGATCTCCCACAGTATTTACAGAGAGTATCCCTCTGTTAATATGGGCCTGGATCTCCCACACAGAGAGTATCCCTGTGTGGTTCTAGGCCTGGATCTCCCACATAGAGAGTATCCCCATGTAGTTCTAGGCCTGGATCTCCCACACAGAGAGAGGATCCCCATATGGTTCTCAGCCCTTGATCTCTCACAGATAGGGGATCCCCATGTGGTTCTCACCCCAAGGTCTCCTACAGAGAGAAGATCCCCATGTGGTTCTCAGCCCAAGGTCTCCTACAGAAAGAGGATCCCCATGTGGTTCTCACCCCGAGATCTTCCACAGAGAGAGGATCCCCATGTGGTTCTCGGCCCAAGGTCTCCCACAGAGAGAAGATCCCCATGTGGTTTTCACCCCGAGATCTCCCACAGAGAGGGGATCCCCATGTGGTTCTCGGCCCAAGGTCTCCCACAGAGAAAGTATCCCCATGTGGTTCTCAGCCCAAGGTCTCCCACAGAGAGAGGATCCCCATGTGGTTCTCAGCCCAAGGTCTCCCACTGAGAGAGGATCCCCATGTGGTTCTCACCCCGAGATCTCCCACAGAGAGAGGATCCCCATGTGGTTCATGGCCCAAGGTCTCCCACAGAGAGGGTATCCCCATGTGGTTCTCAGCCCAAGGTATCCCACAGAGAGAGGATCCCCATGTGGTTCTCACCCCAAGGTCTCCCATAGAGAGAGGATCCCCATGTGGTTCTCACCCCAAGGTCTCCCAAAGAGAGAGGATCTCCATGTGGTTCTCGGCCAAAGGTCTCCCACAGAGAGGGGATCCCCATGTGGTTCTCACCCCAAGGTCTCCCACACAGAGAGAGAGGATCCCCATGTGGTTCTCGGCCCAAGGTCTCCCAAAGAGAGAGGATCCCCATGTGGTTCTCGGCCCGAGATCTCCCACAGAGAAAGGATCCCCATGTGGTTCTCAGCCCAAGGTCTCCCACAGAGAGGGGAACCCCATGTGGTTCTCACCCCAAGGTCTCCCACGCAGAGAGAGAGGATCCCCATGTGGTTCTCGGCCCAAGGTCTCCCATAGAGAGAGGATCCCCATGTGGTTCTCACCCCAAGGTCTCCCAAAGAGAGAGGATCTCCATGTGGTTCTCGGCCAAAGGTCTCCCACAGAGAGGGGATCCCCATGTGGTTCTCACCCCAAGGTCTCCCATAGAGAGAGGATCCCCATGTGGTTCTCACCCCAAGGTCTCCCAAAGAGAGAGGATCTCCATGTGGTTCTCGGCCAAAGGTCTCCCACAGAGAGGGGATCCCCATGTGGTTCTCACCCCAAGGTCTCCCACACAGAGAGAGAGGATCCCCATGTGGTTCTCGGCCCAAGGTCTCCCAAAGAGAGAGGATCCCCATGTGGTTCTCGGCCCGAGATCTCCCACAGAGAAAGGATCCCCATGTGGTTCTCAGCCCAAGGTCTCCCACAGAGAGGGGAACCCCATGTGGTTCTCACCCCAAGGTCTCCCACGCAGAGAGAGAGGATCCCCATGTGGTTCTCGGCCCAAGGTCTCCCACAGAGAGAGAGGATCCCCATGTGGTTTTCACCCCGAGATCTCCCACAGAGAGGGGATCCCCATGTGGTTCTCAGCCCAAGGTCTCCCACAGAGAAAGGATCCCTATGTGGTTCTCAGCCCAAGGTCTCCCACTGAGAGAGGATCCCTATGTGGTTCTCACCCCGAGATCTCCCACAGAGAGAGGATCCCCATGTGGTTCTCGGCCCAAGGTCTCCCACAGAGAGAGGATCCCCATGTGGTTCTCGGCCCAAGGTCTCCAACAGAGAGAGGATCCCCATGTGGTTCTCACCCCAAGGTCTCCCACAGAGAGGGAGTATCCCCATGTGGTTCTCGGCCCAAGGTCTCCCACAGAGAGAAGATCCCCATGTGGTTTTCACCCCGAGATATCCCACAGAGAGGGGATCCCCATGTGGTTCCAGCCCAAGGCCTCCCACAGAGAGAGGATCCCCATGTGGTTCTCAGCCCAGGGTTTCCCAAAGAGAGAGGATCCCCATGTGGTTCTCACACCAAGGTCTCCCCCAGAGAGAGAGGATCCCCATGTGGTTCATGGCCCAAGGTCTCCCACAGAGAGAGGATCCCCACGTGGTTCTCAGCCCAAGATCTCCCACAGAGGGAGGATCCCCATGTGGTTCTCACCCCGAAATCTCCCACAGAGAGAGGATCACCATGTGGTTCTCACCCCGAGATCTCCAACAGAGAGAGGATCCCCATGTGGTTCTCACCCCAAGGTCTCCCACAGAGAGAGGATCCCTACGTGATTCTCGGCCCAAGATCTCCCACAGAGAGGGTATCCCCATGTGGTTCTCGGCCCAAGGTCTCCCACAGAGAGAGGATCCCCACGTGTTTCTCACCCCAAGATCTCCCACAGAGAGGGGATCCCCATGTGGTTCTCGGCCCAAGGTCTCCCATAGAGAGAGAGGAACCCCATGTGGTTCATGGCCCAAGGTCTCCCACAGAGAGAGGATCCCCGCGTGGTTCTTGGCCCAAGATCTCCCACAGAGAGAGGATCCCCATGTGGTTTTCGGCCCAAGATCTCCCACAGAGAGAGGATCCCCACGTGGTTCTCGGCCCAAGATCTCCCACAGAGAGAGAATCCCTATGTGGTTCTCAGCCCTAGATCTCTTATAGAATCCTTAAGCGGTTCTAGGCCTGGGTCTCCCATGGAGAATATCCTATCCAGTCCTCACCTAGATTTAACCTGGTGATAGCCTTGAAACTGTATTACATAGGTTACACCAGGTTGGCCTCTCATCTCGAGCACTGTGCCATGCAACCCAGCATGAGCTTTAATGAACTTAATAATATAGCGTATTTATGGAGCCACATTCTCTCTCTTGACTCTTTTTACTGTCATGACATTTCCAGTGGTTAAGATGAAATGAAGCTATCGTTTAATGCCTTTATAGATGTACCACACCATCAACAATAAGTCATTGAATCAATTCAGGAGTCAAGTCACTTTTTGTCTGTCAAGTAGGTGCATGTGGCCGCCCAGACACGGTCCACACAGTACTGAGCCAAGGGGGTTAAAGGGTGGTGACTGTGCTCCATCAGGGAACATCAATTCCCCAATAACTGCAGATGTGTAACTGGCTGGTAATGCACTTCCTATGTAGCCTCTCAGCCCCGTAGTTTCATTCTTGGTTAAACATCAATAGGTAATTTCCAATATGAAGAGACTGAAGAAAACAGTGGGAGAATGGTAAGAGTGGGATCGATGGCAGGGACACTCCTTGCAGCTGCTACTCTACCTTAACCCAGCAGACGTCTGCGGATTACCAGGCCGATCGGGGTAAGGCAGGGGGTTGCAGGGGAAGCTGAGGGTGGGTTGGTGGGTAGGTGGGGAAGAGTAAAATGGGGAGAGGGGAGATCTCCTGAAATGGGCAAGAGTCATTGATATACATGAGTGATTGATTGAAGGGGTCTTGCATGACTTTAAACTAGATCGCTAGGTGAAGACGGAGGAACTGAGTGAGACAGATGAGGAAATGGGTGAGATAGGGTAGGAGGAACTGTGTAAGATAGGGTAGGAGGATCTGGGTGACATAGGGAGGAACTGGGTGACATAGGGAGGAACTGGGTGAGATAGAAGAGGAACTGGGTGAGATAGAAGAGGAACTGGGTGAGATAGAAGAGGAACTGGGTGAGATAGAGGAGGAACTGGGTGAGATAGGGGAGGAACTGGGTGAGATAGAAGAGGAACTGGGTGAGATAGGGTAGGAGGATCTGGGTGACATAGGGAGGAACTGGGTGAGATAGGGAGGAACTGGGTGAGATAGAAGAGGAACTGGGTGAGATAGGGTAGGAGGAACTGTGTGAGATAGAGGAGGAACTGGGTGTGATAGGGGAGGAACTGTGTGAGATAGGGTAGGAGGAACTGGGTGAGATAGAGGAACTGGGTGAGATAGGGGAGGAACTGGGTGAGATAGAAGAGGAACTGGGTGAGATAGGGTAGGAGGAACTGGGTGAGATAGAAGAGGAACTGGGTGAGATAGCGGAGGAACTGGGTGAGATAGAAGAGGAACTGGGTGAGATAGGGGAGGAACTGAGTGAGATAGAAGAGGAACTGGGTGAGATAGAAGAGGAACTGGGTGAGATAGAGGAGGAACTGGGTGAGATAGGGAGGAACTGGGTGAGATAGAGAGGAACTGGGTGAGATAGGGGAGGAACTGGGTGAGATAGAAGAGGAACTGGGTGAGATAGGGGAGGAATTGGCTGAGATAGGGGAGGAATTGGCTGAGATAGAGGAGGAACTGGGTGAGATAGGGGAGGAATTGGCTCATAGAAGAGGAACTGGGTGAGATAGGGGAGGAACTGGGTGAGATAGAAGAGGAACTGGGTGAGATAGAAGAGGAACTGGGTGAGATAGAGGAACTGGGTGAGATAGGGGAGGAACTGGGTGAGATAGAAGAGGAACTGGGTGAGATAGGGTAGGAGGAACTGGGTGAGATAGAGGAGGAACTGGGTGAGATATGGGAGGAACTGGGTGAGATAGAAGAGGAACTGGGTGAGATAGGGGAGGAACTGGGTGAGATAGAAGAGGAACTGGGTGAGATAGAAGAGGAACTGGGTGAGATAGGGGAGGAACTGGGTGAGATAGGGAGGAACTGGGTGAGATAGAGAGGAACTGGGTGAGATAGAGAGGAACTGGGTGAGATAGAAGAGGAACTGGGTGAGATAGGGGAGGAACTGGGTGAGATAGAAGAGGAACTGGGTGAGATAGGGGAGGAATTGGGTGAGATAGAGGAGGAACTGGGTGAGATAGGGGAGGAACTGGGTGAGATAGAAGAGGAACTGGGTGAGATAGGGTAGGAGGATCTGGGTGACATAGGGAGGAACTGGGTGAGATAGGGAGGAACTGGGTGAGATAGAAGAGGAACTGGGTGAGAAAGGGGAGGAACTGGGTGAGATAGAAGAGGAACTGGGTGAGATAGAAGAGGAACTGGGTGAGATAGAGGAGGAACTGGGTGAGATAGGGGAGGAACTGGGTGAGATAGAAGAGGAACTGGGTGAGATAGGGTAGGAGGATCTGGGTGACATAGGGAGGAACTGGGTGAGATAGGGAGGAACTGGGTGAGATAGAAGAGGAACTGGGTGAGATAGGGTAGGAGGAACTGTGTGAGATAGAGGAGGAACTGGGTGTGATAGGGGAGGAACTGTGTGAGATAGGGTAGGAGGAACTGGGTGAGATAGAGGAACTGGGTGAGATAGGGGAGGAACTGGGTGAGATAGAAGAGGAACTGGGTGAGATAGGGTAGGAGGAACTGGGTGAGATAGAAGAGGAACTGGGTGAGATAGCGGAGGAACTGGGTGAGATAGAAGAGGAACTGGGTGAGATAGGGGAGGAACTGAGTGAGATAGAAGAGGAACTGGGTGAGATAGAAGAGGAACTGGGTGAGATAGAGGAGGAACTGGGTGAGATAGGGAGGAACTGGGTGAGATAGAGAGGAACTGGGTGAGATAGGGGAGGAACTGGGTGAGATAGAAGAGGAACTGGGTGAGATAGGGGAGGAATTGGCTGAGATAGGGGAGGAATTGGCTGAGATAGAGGAGGAACTGGGTGAGATAGGGGAGGAATTGGCTCATAGAAGAGGAACTGGGTGAGATAGGGGAGGAACTGGGTGAGATAGAAGAGGAACTGGGTGAGATAGAAGAGGAACTGGGTGAGATAGAGGAACTGGGTGAGATAGGGGAGGAACTGGGTGAGATAGAAGAGGAACTGGGTGAGATAGGGTAGGAGGAACTGGGTGAGATAGAGGAGGAACTGGGTGAGATATGGGAGGAACTGGGTGAGATAGAAGAGGAACTGGGTGAGATAGGGGAGGAACTGGGTGAGATAGAAGAGGAACTGGGTGAGATAGAAGAGGAACTGGGTGAGATAGGGGAGGAACTGGGTGAGATAGGGAGGAACTGGGTGAGATAGAGAGGAACTGGGTGAGATAGAGAGGAACTGGGTGAGATAGAAGAGGAACTGGGTGAGATAGGGGAGGAACTGGGTGAGATAGAAGAGGAACTGGGTGAGATAGGGGAGGAATTGGCTGAGATAGGGGAGGAATTGGCTGAGATAGAGGAGGAACTGGGTGAGATAGGGGAGGAATTGGCTGAGATAGGGGAGGAACTGGGTGAGATAGGGGAGGAATTGGCTGAGATAGGGGAGGAATTGGCTGAGATAGAGGAGGAACTGGGTGAGATAGGGGAGGAATTGGCTGAGATAGAGCAGGAACTGGGTGAGATAGGGGAAGAACTGGGTGAGATAGGGGAGGAACTGGGTGAGATAGGGGAGGAACTGGGTGAGATAGGGGAAGAACTGGGTGAGACAGAAGAGAAACTGGGTGAGATGGGGTAGGAGGAGATGGGTGAGATAGAGGAGGAACTGGGTGAGATAGAGGAAGAACTGGGTGAGATAGAGGAGGAACTGGGTGAGATAGAGGAAGAACTGGGTGAGATAGAAGAGAAACTGGGTGAGATGGGGTAGGAGGAACTGGGTGAGATAGAGGAGGAACTGGGTGAGATAGGGGAGGAACTGGGTGAGATAGAGGAGGAACTGGGTGAGATAGAGGAGGAACTGGGTGAGATAGATAAGGAACTGGGTGAGATAGGGGAGGAACTGGGTGAGATAGGGGAGGAACTGGGTGAGATAGGGGAGGAACTGGGTGAGATAGGGGAAGAACTGGGTGAGATAGAGGAGGAACTGGGTGAGATAGGGGAGGAGGAGATGGGTGAGATAGAGGAGGAACTGGGTGAGATAGAGGAAGAACTGGGTGAGATAAAGGAGGAGCCAAGTGAGATAGAGGAGGAACTGGGTGAGATAGAGGAAGAACTGGGTGAGATAGAGGAGGAACTGGGTGAGATAGGGGAGGAGGAGATGGGTGAGATAGAGGAGGAACTGGGTGAGATAGAGGAAGAACTGGGTGAGATAGAGGAGGAGCCAAGTGAGATAGAGGAGGAACTGGGTGAGATAGAGCAAGAACTGGGTGAGATAGAAGAGAAACTGGGTGAGATGGGGGTAGGAGGAACTGGGTGATAGAGGAGGAACTGGGTGAAATAGGGGAGGAACTGGGTGAGATAGAGGAGGAACTGGGTGAGATAGGGGAGGAGGAGATGGGTGAGATAGAGGAGGAACTGGGTGAGATAGAGGAAGAACTGGGTGAGATAGAGGAGGAGCCAAGTGAGATAGAGGAGGAACTGGGTGAGATAGAGGAAGAACTGGGTGAGATAGAGGAGGAACTGGGTGAGATAGGGGAGGAGGAGATGGGTGAGATAGAGGAGGAACTGGGTGAGATAGAGGAAGAACTGGGTGAGATAGAGGAGGAGCCAAGTGAGATAGAGGAGGAACTGGGTGAGATAGAGGAAGAACTGGGTGAGATAGAAGAGAAACTGGGTGAGATGGGGGTAGGAGGAACTGGGTGATAGAGGAGGAACTGGGTGAGATAGGGGAGGAACTGGGTGAGATAGAGGAGGAACTGGGTGAGATAGGGGAGGAGGAGATGGGTGAGATAGAGGAGGAACTGGGTGAGATAGATAAGGAACTGGGTGAGATAGGGGAAGAACTGGGTGAGATAGGGGAGGAACTGGGTGAGATAGGGGAGGAACTGGGTGAGATAGGGGAGGAACTGGGTGAGATAGGG